CGCGAACTATGTTGCCATGAACGTTCTGGTACATATGTTTGGTGGGCTTATGCATTCATTTCCCTTGGGTGTATAGCCAGGAGTGGAAATGAAATGCTGGGGGGCCCATGCTAGCTTTAGTAGAATCTGCCACACAGTTTCCCAGGGTGGTGCAGCCATTTCCACTTTCTCCAGCAATGGCCTCAGATTTCTTTTTCCCCCCCAGCACCAGCCTCTTCTTTTCAGTGCAATAAATAGAAAGAGCCTGCAATGTGCAGTCAGACCTCAGTGACCTTGGGGGCCATTACATAACTCTTACAGGATTTGTCTCCCCATGGGGATAAATCGCCCCCCCCAGCCTGAGTTGGCATCCATATCAAATTAAGAGACCCGAGCGCCCAGCCTTCACAACTGACGCTGTGCCTGGCAGGTGGCTGGCTCTAAGTGAATATTCCCTCCCTCCCCCTTGCCCACACCTGAAGCTGCCCAACATGCAATCACAGAATAAACATTTATGGCCCTTTCACCCTCACAGAGCCCTTTAAAATTCCTCTGCCAGTGATCCTGAGCATCTGCTTATTACTTTCTTCCCCCATACTTATGTTTCAGGCCACTTCTATCCACCCCACCTTAGTCAGTGGGGAAAATCTAGGACACGGGGAGGGTTCAGCGCACTGGGTCAGTGCCTCCCAAGGTGAAGTCAACAGACGGTGCTTCCTGCAAAGTAACTGTGGGCCAGGAAGGAGACACCCCCAACCCCCCCGGCCACAGTAAAGTCCAAATTTACATTGTCTGCATAAGCGCCATTATGAAAGATCTCCAAGATACGTTACGTTAACTAAAACAAGCGAAATGCGGGATGGGATGAATACTTTGTCACTTTTGTGTAAAAAGGAGCAAGAAGGGCCCATATTTATATTGACATAGTGGAAATGGATGCCCAAGGCACTAAGAACATGGGCTGGGGGGAGCAGCCATGCTACTGGGGACAGGTGTGGGAGGAGATGGCCCCATGCGCCCTTTCATGACCTTTGAGCTTGCACCACATCAATAGAACCTCTTCTCAAAAAATGTTTATATACTCACAATTTTTTAAGTTATGTGTCAGGTGATGTGAGTCCCTGACCAAGCACCAGGCGGCCCCACCTTGGCAGAGCAAGGATGCCCGTGCGCAGCGTGCACGTGGTGGGTGGGTGTGCAGGGGCGTGTGTGTAAGTGGATGCAGGCAGGCCCGCGGAGGACAGCTCCATCATAACCACAGGCAACAGGGGAGAGCACGTAGGCATAGCAGGAGCCGGGCCCTGCGCTTCTGAGAAGGGGGCCCAGCCTGAGTTCACACAGTCCGACCGGGGGGCCCACCAGGATGTTCACAACTTCCTCCACCTCCCAAATCCCTTAATTCTAGGCAGTTCGAACTCTATCATTACCAATCTGGAGTAAGAACATGACTGAATGTTCTTTAAGGTTCTATGTGTGTGTGTGTCCATATGGTTATATGTTGGTGTAAGGGTGCGGGGTGGTGTATCGTGTGGGAGTGAGTGTATGTGGGTGCGTGTGTGCAAGTGGGGGAGGGGAGTGCTTTCACTCAGCAAAAAAAAGCAGAAAAGACTAACGCCCCCAACAAGTGATAGGCCCTTGGAATACAGCAGGTGGGCAACACTTAAGAACATCCCCCCAGAATGGCCAGACTGTCCGCCTGCCCAGAAGTCAACAGCAGCCACCACCCCAAAGGCCAGACCTAGGGCCCCATGGCCAGGTGACACTCACTAATAATTAGTACATCTGAGCTTGACATGAAGCCACAACAGATGTCCCCTCCCGTGGAACTCACCTTCACTCCATGTGGCCATGCCACCCCGTAGGGCTCTGAGAGGTCCAGCAAAGGGCCAGTGGGCAGCCACAGGCCCATCCCGGAGGAGCTGAGCTGAGTAGTGAGGAGCCCTGATCCCTGAGGGGTCTCGCCGGCAGGAAGGCAAACAACCACAAACAGACTGAGGTGAGGGGTTACTCCTTCCGGTAAGGGCAGATACCTTACCTCTGGGGACACAGCCAGGTCACAGCCCTCCCACCATCCCCTCACTCAAAAAATGAGCTAAAAAAAAAAAAAAAAAAAAACTAGAGACACACATACACATAAAGAGGCTGAGGTAAACGGAAGAATAGAGAGAAGCTGAGGAGCATGGGAAGGGCAAGCCTCTTTTATTATCCCAAAATGCAAAGTATTGAAGGCACTTACAATAACAAGGCAGGAGGGGAGGGGGGGTCAGAGCACAGAGGTAAATCAACGGGCCCCACCCTGGTCACCACCCGGCATGGAGAAAAGGAAAAGCTACAGGACCAGATCTGAAGCCAGGCCGGGTGGCTACCTCTACCAAAGATACAAATCCAGTCTACAGAGGATTAGAAAATGAGGAGCACACAGCAGCGAGGGGCAGGGCTGGTAGTCACAAGTTAGTGGCTCTGTAAGGAACACGCTCGGCAGTGAAGAGGGCCCTCAGGTCCCCTGCTGGAAGAGGTCCCGGTACATCTCGATGAGACGGGCAGCCTCGCGCTGGCCAGAGAGCAGAGCACCATGGGTGGTGGAGTAGTACTTGCGGTGAGTGGCCTCACCCGAGAACAGCACCTGCATGGGCTGGGCCAGGGGACGGGGAAGTGAGGGTGGAGGAGCGAGAAAGACTGGGAGGCTACCTGTCTGCCCCCAGAAACCCCCCCCCATCCACACTACAAGTCAGACAGCAGGTACTGCTGCTTCCGCGGGATGAGGAGTTGCCCGTCCCTCCTGGCCACCTTCCCCTGCTTCTTCCCCAGACATCCAGGCCTCAGTTCTTTCTGCTCAGATGCTGTTAGGAGTCCTGGTTGGTTCTGCAGTCTCAGAGGCTCATTGTATCTCTTACAGTGAACTCAGGGCTAGTGGTTTAACCTCCTAAGCCTTGATTTTGTCACCTGCCAAATGGGTTTGTACCACCTGCTTCTGAGGGTGGCTGTAAGGATTAATTGAAATAATGTATCTAAAGCACTTAGAACCTGGAAGAACATAAGCACTCAATAAAGTTAGGCGGTAATTTAACAAACCTTTATGGAGCCCCTATTAGGGTCCAGGGACTGTTCTGAGCACTTGGAAGATAAAAGGTGACCGGGCCGCTGCTTTGAGGAGTTTCCTTGCTGGTGGGGAAGCCAGACACGAAACCCAGTTACTAAACGGCGTCACTTGTGACATGATGGGTGTTTGGGCAAGGTGCCGAGAGCCCAGAAAAGAGGCCCACTGTAAGGGGGATCACACAAAGCTTCCCAGAGGACAGGATCTTTGGGCTCCTTCTCAGAAGGTGCGAGGTAAACAAACAGGCAAAGGACGTTTCAGGAAGAAGGAAAAAATGGGGGCAAAAATGCATCAGAGCAAGGGACAGTGAAATATTTTGGTACAGCCAGGGCTCACCCTCAAGAAAGCAAGCTGTCTACGTGGGGTCCAGGCAAAGAACAAATGCTTGCATCCCAAGCTTGAGTTAGGACTTAATCCCACTGTATCTCAACCTGAACGTACAAAGGCACCAACTGGGGACCCTGTAGTATGTTGTTTCTCATTCAGCAGGTCTAGGGGGTGCTGAGAGCCTGCATTTCTAAGGCGCTCCCCCACGATGCTGACGCTGCTGGTCCACAGACCACGCACTTGGCATAGGGAAGCTTTAACCCACCAACAAGGGAGCAGCCTGAAGAGGTAGTTGGGCTGGAGGAGGGCGGGGGGAGGCATATTGTGGCAGAAGGCAAGCTGCCTCCTCCCACATCCATGCTCCTGTTTCTCCTCCGTCACAGAGCCCTGATTTTTAACCGGGTTCATGGCCATCCAGAATGAAAAAAAAAAAAAAACGATGCCTCCCAACCTTTTCTGCAGCTGCTATAGGCATGTGACTTAGTTCTGGCCAATCAGCTCCAAGGGCACTGTTGCTTAGAGGCAAGTCTTGGGGCGGGGGGTGTTCCCCTCTTTTGCCTCCTCTGCCTGTCACAGCCTCGCGGCCCTCTAGAACCACAAAGTGGCCTGGAAGATGGAGCCAGGTGCCAGTGACGTTGGGTCCTGATACCTACCTCTGGATTTCCCCTTGTCTGATAGAAGGAAACTCTGTGTGGTTTTTAAGCCCCAGTTATTTTCATGTTGTTTCGCTTTGTGCTGTAGGCACTAGTCCTAACTGATGCCGGTGACAAGAGAAGGTTTGGTTTTTAGGAGGGCGACTGTGGCAGCAGCGAGGGCCTCTTCCTCTCTCCCGCTGAGCACAGCCAGGCCACGCACAACACACGCTGGAAATCTTCACCACTTATACCAAAGAATTGTTCTAAATATCATTCTGTTCGGGTTTGAACATTTATTGTATGTGTGCGCTTGCTGGGGGGAACTCGAAATCCACTTTGTAAGACCAGAAATATATACAATTATTTCTCTCAGATTTATTCTTTTTCTCTATGATTTATTATAGAGTTGATATAATTTGGGGGAGGGTCAGTATTCTCAATTTTATTTTCTGAAACATAGTAGGCAAAAGAAGTAAATAAACCATGTTGGGGAAACTTACTTCTGTGGAATCAGTGCCGTCCAAGAGAACTTTCCACGGTGAGAGAAATGCTTTATCTGCTACAGAACCCCACACAGCAACACTAGGCACACGTGCCTATCAGACTTGGGAAACGTGGCCAGTGCGACCAAGGAACTAGGTATTTAACACACTGATTTCAATTTTAATTAATTCATTTCAACGAAATGTGGCCAATGGCTACCATATCGGACAGCAGAGCATGAAATGGCTCAGCTTCTACCAGCTCAATAAAGCGTTTAACATGTCAATTTTGACCCTAATTTTTCTTCCAGATGTTAAGCGCACATGTCCTTGTTTTCTCCTTCATCACAGGAGCTACTCCATCCGTCTCCGCTTCGCACCCCTCGGTGAGCACCGCCCGCCCCCTGCCCGCCAACCAAGCCCGCACCCAAAACACCTGCCCCCGGCCCCCCGGCCCTCCTCAGTCTGCACCACGCTCACCGCCATCTTGGAGCTCTCGGTGTACGGCAGGGGCTTGGCCAGCTTCTCCACGTCTGCCCCACTAGAGCCCACCTGCGTGTACGAATAGGAGCCTCGGAAGTAGGGGTTGCTGCCCCAGGCCGAGCGCAGGATTCGCCGAGGTTTTGGAATGTTGGGGTTCCCTGTTGGGGAGTTGGGAGAGCCAAGGGGAAGGAAGATAAGAAATGGCTAGACACAGAAGACAGCCCTGAGCAGGCTACTGCCAGTCCACAGCCGGGGCTGCAAGAAGGCCAGGCCCCTGCGGGCAGGCACGGAAGACGCAGCGGGAAGGGTGGATGCTCGGTGCTCCAGCTATTTACCCCCGCAGCGCCTCCTTGTGGACACCCCCGGCAAAACAGCTCATCCCTCCGGGGCCCTAATTTTCCCGTATGAAAAAATACTCCAGATCATCAAGGTTCCCCTTCCCACTTCAGGGGTTCTCGTGAGGCTCTTCTGGGGTAGCGGATGAAAAAAAAAGGTTCAACTAAAAGAATCAGAGAGTGAAACGCTAATCCATCTCCTAACAGGACAGTATGAGTAGGAAATGGGCAATCTGAGGTTTGGGGGTGATACCTGAGTTTTTTTACCATCAGCCCTCAGAAGAAACACAGCGCCCAAGGTTCTGAGTGTTTCAAGTTCCAGAGGGGGGCTGCGGGGAGGAGCCCGCAATCTGGGAGCCCGGGCGCCGGGCGGCAGCTCTCCCAGTGGGCGCGCCCCTCGGCCGGCAGGATCAGGGGCTGCGGAGAGCTACTGCTGGTGCAGGAGAGGCGGGGGGGGCAGCGGGCGGGGGGGCACAGGCGGAGGCCGGAGGCGCGGGGACACACCTGTGAACTGCCGCAGCATCTCCGTGCAGATCTCGGCCACCGCCTCGTCGTCGCACTTCTCCATGACGAGGGCCTCCTCCCCGCAGATCCAGCCGCTCAGCACGTGGCCGTAGCGCTCGGGCGGGTAGAGGACGTCGAAGCCGCAGATCTTGCGGTACCAGAGCTCGGGCGGGTAGGTGAGGGTACGGCTCTCCGCCTCGTCCTCCCACACAAACTGTAGGCTGTTGCACTCGGGGCCCCAGAAGGGCTCCTCAAATTCCAGAAAGATCTTGTCGGTGGTGCCGATGCCCAGGCGGTGGATGGCAGCCACCTTCTCGGCGGGCAGGCCTGGCCGGAAGAAGCTGGTGTACTGCCTCTTGAGCACTCCCAGCGACACGGTCACGATCACGTGGTCCGCCGGGATCACCTCGCAGTCCTCACACTCCACCAGCACCGGCCACTGCTTGTCCTCATCCCGCCCATCCCCCCGGGGCTCCTCTCCCCCCTGGCCGCCCTCCCCGGCGTCATGGTTGTGGTCACCTTCGCCGCGGGGCTCAATCTCAGGGCCCCGGGGGCGGGCCGAGGCCTGGTCCCAGTGCACACAACGGACGGGTTTCCCCAGCTGGATGACATGGGTGGGGATGCCCTCGGCCAGTAGCTCCACAACCCGCATGAAGCCCGAAGGGATGATGTGGTGGGCCCCGGGGATCTCGGTCCACTCCCCGAAGGCGCTCAGGGACACCTCGTCCATGCTGTGGGAGCTACTCTCACAGCTCTCCACCTGTGGGAAGAGCCAGAGAGGAGCTAGGTGACCACCAGGGCCAGGCAGGGGTCGTAACAGGACCTCAAAGTAGTGCCATCCTGCTTGGACCCAGACTCCCCAGAATCGGTCTTCCTCCCACCAGCACCTGCTCTGAGTGGACAAGGATACCTTCAGGTACTGCTGGATCATGGCGAGCTTCAGGCGCTTGGTGGCCTCCGGGTCCTCAGGGTCATCCCTGATGCGGTTGCGCACCTCCTCCCGGGTGAACACCCCCACACTGTTCTGACTCTCAGCATTGACTGGTTTACCATGCCGGAAGAACTCCTGGGTCAAGTTATAGACCTGCCAGAGAGACCCCAGGAGACTGAAAACACACTCCCTCATCCCACCTCCATTTCAGACCAAAGAACCCCAACTCAAAAGTCCCCACCTTCCAAGTGTTCCCAGATACACTGAGCTCACGGCTCCTCTTGCTTGGTGAATCAACGTGGCACTGGGTGCCACACTCAGGCTGCACCAACAGGGCCAGTGTTCAGGCTGACAAGTTGCCCCGGGGCAGCCAGCCTCCTTGCTTCCAGATGGCCCTCTAAGACCCCCCGGGTCTGTGAGGGAGAGGGAGGGAGCCCTGGAGGCTCTCTTGCTGGGCCCTTGCTGAAAACAAAGCAAAATGTTTGGTGCCCAGTGGGAAAGGAACCGCCCCCACCAAGGGCGCTATGTGGCCAAGCAGACCAACCACGGGGGAACCCAGGTCTGCACACATTTCCTTCTTCCCAGAACCAAATGCGCAAACCCTTTCCCTGCAACTGCTGCCCAAGTGTATCTGCTTCACCCTCTCCCAGGAGGGAGAGTCTGGAACTGTGCCCTGGCCAGTGTTTGTGGGGGAGAGGGAACAGAAGGAGCCCTGAAATCTGAGCTCCCAGGAGACCCGCCCTGGCCCTGCTCGGGTCCACACAAAGTGCCCCTTTTACTGTGGAACCCAGACTTGTTTAAGCAAGATAGCCGTGTTAGGGCCGGACGTGTGGTGGGGAGGGAGGCCCCAGTATGCCGAGGAACAAACATACATTTCACAGGCATATTTTGACAAGAACTCCAACCCACACCTTATCAACAGAAAGCAACAAACAGTCCCTTGGAGCCCGGTCCTATTGCGCCCCCTGCCTGCCCGGCACATAACTCCCACCAAACACTGGGCTAGTCTCCCCGCGGAAAGGAAGCTAGTCCTGGGTCAGGCATGGCATCCCCGGAAGGCCAAGTCCGAGCCCCAACATTCACTCAACAAACAGTTACTGGGCTGTACCCAACACAGATTATAATCATGAGCAAGAAGGAAAGTCCCCTGCCCTCGCTCGGACTGGGGAGATATCATAACTGAGCTGTTTCTACATGATGTGCTGTGATCGGGAAGAACCCAGAGGTTGTGAGATCAAGCCAGATGACCTTGGCTAGTTGGCAGTGAGAGAGAGAGGAAAAGATGAGGGAGAGGTGAGAGAACGTAAGTGGCTCAGGCTTGCCGAAATGGGCAGCGAGGAAAGAGAAAGTTACAAGAGATGACTTTGAAAAGGCAGGCAGGGGCGGGGCATGAGGGACTAAGAGTCATGTCAAGGACTCTGGACACTAGCATCACTGAAGGGTTGTGAGCATGAGCACACGCCCACTCTCCCTCCCAGGACACTGGTACATGTGGGCTCCTTGGCCAAACATCTGTGGCTGGTGTCAATTAGTGGTTTGTTTCCCCTCCTAAAGTGAGTTTGAATTTGGTCAGCGCACATTCATGGGAATGATGTCTGCCCTGTAACCCAGCCCTGGTACAGGGCCCTGGGCTGCTCAGTAGAGGAAGGAAGGTGACGCTGCCCATCCCCCACCATCCCACTCAAGGGAAAAACCTCCCCATGAGCTAGAAATATGAATTAAACATGTCTCTGAAGTATACAATATAAAGAAGAAAATGAGTTAAATTGTTTGCTTTTCCGACGTCCAGTCACAAGATGCTGGGCATTTGGCCTTAACTGGAGTCCTCAGCAAATTCCTCACCCAGTACCACTGCCAAGGAGTCAGGCTTTCGGCTTGCCTCCTCCTCCCTGAGTTTTTTTCCTCTGGTGATAAGCAACATGGTAGCCAGTCCTTAGCTTATGTTGACTAAAGGCCGAAATGTGCAGCTGGGAGTGATAAATTTAGTCCATCTACATGATTCTTTGTGTCAACCCCCAACTGGGACAGCCTTCACTGAACATGGGTTTGTCATAGGGCTACAGTCTCCTGCCCTGGATTAAATTACATCTTCCCAATGTGACCAAGGGAAATGGCACAGGCCTGTAACAGCCAATAATACTCACCCTGATTCTCATTAAGCACTTTATATCAGGATCTCATTTAATCCTCATGACGCTCTGAAGTAGGTTTAACTGCGTCCATTTTATAGATGAGGAAAGTAAGAGTCCTCAGAGAGCCTCAACAACTCGCTCAAGATCATACAGCTCATAAATGGTCGAACTAGTATTTGAATCAAAGTAGTCTTGCTCCAGGGAGCATGATACTAGTGCACGAACTCATTTATTTGTTAACAAATAGAATGGATTCAAATGAGCAGCCCTTCAAAGTCGTCACCTTTGGAGGAAGGCTGCATATTTCTTATGAAGCCACCCTCAGGCAGGGCTTCATAGGCTTAGAGCGTGCCTCTTAGAATGGCCTCCAGCTCTGGTTAAGAGCCACACAAGGAAACCTCTCTTTCCTCAGGGTTAACACCTCTTCCTTCTGACCCACAGCATCACTGCTCCAACTGATAACCCACCTACTCTCCATCCTACTCTCCACAACTCACACTCTTAGCTTTCAAAACTCAAACCCACAAGCAGAAGCCGATGATGATCTACTTTTAAGCACATTTAAGAGTACAAGCAAGTCATAGACCCTGAAAGTCAGTCTCAAGAAGCATCCATGCCTAAAGCACTCACGATAACCTGGAAATAAGGATGTGACTAATTCTCAGGAGACCAGAAAGGTCTACTTTGGAGAATACTAGTTCTTATCTGCTCGTTAACAATTCAGTCTCTTTGTACGTGAGTGAGAACACACAATACCATGGGATTGCACACAACATACCTTGTGGGTGCATACACAGAAGTCACGGTGCGCCTGCCCCCCATTGAGCAAGGACTATCCCCAAGAGTCATTTCTCCTTTCCCATGCCCAAGAGACAGAAAATGTGCAATAGGTGCTGGTTGGTCAACTTACTGACCTGGAGTGAAGGGTCATTATACTGCACATGACAAGCTATCAGAAGGCAAGACCTACGTGCTACCTTGCTTGTTAAGTGCAGTTCACAGGGCCACTGAAAGATACTAAAAACATGAACATTTTTTTTAAAAACCTGTATTAGATAAGGATGTGTGCCATTGCCACTTCTATCCAACACTGTACTGGAGACACCAGCCAGTGCAATACTGCAAGAAAAGAAATAAGTTGTCTTAGACTGTGCTGTCCAATACAGTAGCTACTAAACACCTGTGGCGATTTAAAAGTAATTAAATATTTAGTTCCTCAGTGTTACTAGCTACATTTCAAGAGCTCAAGAGCCACATGTAGCTAGTGATTACCCTACTGGATAACGCAGGTCTAAAACATCTCCATTATTGTAGAGAGTTCTACTGCACAATGCAGGTCTGAGGATTAGAAAGAAGGAAACAAAATTGCCATTTTTTTGTATAGTATGTACATAAAATTCCAAAATATTATTAGAATATAAATTAATATGTTAATGGCTGTAATATTAGCATTAAAATAATACTTTATCAAGGTAGCCAAAATCAATATATAATAATCAGTTATAGTCCTATACACTGGAAAAAATTAGAAGGTAAGTTTTAAAAAATTACCACTTGCAAGAGTACCCAAAAGCAATAACAACAACAATCACCACCCAAGCACCTACTAATAAATCTAATAAAAGATTTTTTTTAAGATTTATTTATTTATTTGAGAGAAAGAGAGAGCAGGGGGAGGGGCAGAGGGAGAGGGAGAGGAATCTTCTAGCAGTCTCCCTGCTGAGTGCAGAGCTCAATGTGGCCGATTCCAGGACCCTGAGACCATGACCTGAGCCAAAATCAAGAGTCAGACACTCAACCAAATGAGCCACCCAGGTGCCCCCTAATAAAAGATATTTAGGGTCTTTCTGAAGAAATATCTAATCATCTGTATCAATTGTCTCTTACCTAGTACTTCCCCACTCATCATCTTCATTCTATCCTCAGATTGTCCTGATTTTCCAAATACAAGGCCCAGAAAGTATGCAAAAACATGACCAGAATCACAGAAGACCCCACAGGTCACCCAACTCTCCCCACACTGCCAGGGTGCTCCCTGCCTCCCACACCCATGTGCCCAGTTGCCCTGCTAACACCTCACCTCGTTGTATAAATCACTGAATTCCTCAACCACGTCCTTGGGGATCCTGCAGCCACGGTTGGTGAGGTAGCAGGCCACGCCATTCTTGGAGTAGAGGCTGATGCGGCCCACACTGCGCTCCCCATCAGTTGTCTCTTCAAGGAGGCCATTGGCTTCTGCTAGATGATAGATGGGATTCCCATGGGAGCCATGGATCCAGGTGGCTCCCAACTCAAAGGTGGCGTGTCCTGATGGTGACAACAACAGCCCTTAGAGGGGCAGGGACTTCTTCAGAGAGGGCCAGAACACCACCTCACCCTTCTTCTTCCAAGAGGCTCTTTCCATCCCCACAACAGGGCAAGAAGGGAGTTAGGTCCCAGTCTGGCAACTAATCAAAGTCTTCAATGAAAAGTTCCCAGTGGTAACCACATGTGGCACAAAATGGATTCCGCTATTCAGCTGAGATAACTGCCACCCCTGAATGACTTTGTGATCTGCTCCAGAGTCACTTCACTGGACTAGTTAGAAGGCTCTCCTTTTCCATCCTACCTTTGTCTAACATAACACCAGACACTGGACCCTCCTTCCTCATTGGTGACCCTCCCTCAGGAGACACTCTGTGGGCACCTGAGGGTACAGTGGTCCCAGCGAAGGGAGTGAGGTTATCTGAAACACCCAGTAAGGAAATCCAGGAGGAGGGCCTCTGGCGCAAGGTCCTCATCTGACCTTACTCCAATTCCTCAACATCTCCAGTGGCCCCAGAGTCTAAACCCCTATCCCAGACAGAAAGTGGCCCCTCTCCCAACTTAGTCTGGGGCAGAGGAGAGACAGCAAACATTCCAGTCTGGAAGACTCCTCCCCAGGGTAGTCTAAAATAGACTTCCAGAGAAAACTAAGCTCTCTCATTCTAAGGCAGAAGAACATAAGGTGGCAGAACCCTGGGAGTCTGACTAGGGAAGGGGGCAACTCCTGGACCCAAGTTGAGACAGGGCTAGGGCTGGGGCTGGTTCTACCACCCCATCCACAACCAAGGCACCAGATGCTCTGAGGCATCTGTGCCTGAGCCTCAGTTTCCTCTTCTGATGCTACAGGGACTGTGGCACATTGTCTCCTTCCTTGCCTAGCTCCCAAGGAAGTTGAAACAATGAAAGAAGAGAGAGGAACATTTTTTTGTGTTTTGTTTTGTTTGGGAGGACTGATTCAAGATATCATGTGCAGTTAAATTTTTTGGCAAGATGATCACAATAATTCCTCCTATCCTTGTACACATGGCCCTTTGCAACGTGACCTTGCCAGTCCTCCCATCAATAGGTGGGGCCTATTTCCCCACCCCCTTGAATGAGGGCTGGCCTCTTGACTTGCTTTGATTAACAGAACGCAGTGAAAGTGATGTCTTTGGCTTCAGAGCCGAGGCCTCAAGAGATCTCAGGGCTTCCACATTCACCCTCTTAGAATGTGACCACCGTGGACAGGCTTATCCTGCTGGATATGTGTGGCCCAGCCAAAAAGCCAGTGCCAACCACCAGACAAATGGGTAAGGCTGTCTTAGACAAACCAGCCCCGGTCAAGCCACCAGATGACTGCAGCTGAGTGGGAGATCCCAGGCAAGACCAGCAAAAGAACCACCAAGCTGAGTCTGGCCCAAATTCCTGACCCACACAATTTAAGCAAATAAACCATGCTGTTTTAAGCTGCTACATTTGGGGTGATTTGTTAGGCAGCAATAGCTATCTGATATGCCATAATAGACAACAGTATCACCCCTCACCCCACAAAATGGACATTCTTTTTTTGTGTGCCTTCCCTCTGCTGGGTGTTTCTAATTAAACCACCAGTTACTAAAAATAGCCCTGTATATACTACGTACCAAACACAGAGCAAGAGAAAAAGCAATCAACCTCCTGCTGGCAGCCAGTGAGAAAGAATTTACTCCTATCTCTGGAGGAGGCAGGAATGTGTATGTCCCTTTGTCCAGGAAAAGTGGGCAGACGGGAAGGCACAAGAAGCTAAAAAAACCCAGTGCCATGCCTCCAGGCTTGGGGTTCCCCAAGGTGTCTTGCCTGGTTTGAGCTCCCAAGAGAAGAAGGGAGCCAACACCTTGGGGAGGGGCCTGGGCCCTCCCCAGGGCATGCCAGGGAGCTCCAAATCCCACAGCCACTGGGTAGCGACATCCAAGCACGGGGCACCCTTCCTGGCTCGACACATGGCAAAAGCAGGTTTGAGGTGAGCAGCCTGGGGTCGGCCACAAGGTCAGCATCCCACCTCTATTCGCCAGGCTCTGCAAGGAGGTGGGGTGAGCAGACCCCAGTCTAAAGATATCTCCTGCCCTCTCCTACCTGCCCCTCGGCTGCTGTGATCCTTGACACCCCTGCATCCAAGGGCACCAGCACCATCTCCTCATCTGCCCCACAGTGTCCCCAGAGCCTCTGGCCTTCAACACCTGCCCAACACCCCTGAGACTCACAGCCACCGTCTCACACTGAAGCAGGCCCAACTGCAGCCCGGGCATTCAGCCCTTCGAGTCTGCACACACAACACATGCAGATTTGCCCTTCCCTGGACGTGCTCTCCCCACTCCTGGCAGGGTCTGCCTCGATCTTCTTCACATCCATTGCCCCACGCATATCGCCCCCTCCTTCTTCTGCCCACCCAACTCCGCCCATCCCCAAGCTCCCCCAGGTCAGGAAGGCTTCTGCCACCAATAGATGGATAGATGGTGCATCCCCTCAGCTTCCTGCAGCCCCAAGCTTCCGCCTCACTGCCTGTACCATGCACGGTGTGTCTCCGCGGTCAGCGACCACTGAGACTGGGCCATGTGTCCTCTCATCTGCTTCTGTGTCACACACTGAATGTCTTATCAAGACTCAAGAACCACAACTGGAGCTGCCCCTTCCCGAAGCCTCCCAGTCAGCCAATCAGATGTTGAGCAAAGAGTCCCAGGGCTTCCCCGCTGGCTGTCCCCAGGTTTACGAGTGCCTTGGATGGCACCTTCATCCTCACTGCCAGCACACTCCTACGTGTGCCAGCAGAAGACAGACGCAACTCATAGACGCCTTCCAGGAAACGCTCTAGAAGACTCCCAATGTGTCAAAGTTTCTGAAAGAGAAAAGGGCCCCATGTGTGTCCTCAGTCTCTGCCCGTTCTAAGCCTGACCACCTACATCTCTGAGCCAGGTTCCACATCCATCAAATGTGGGCACATGATATCTGTATGGCCTTGCTGCCCCATGTGGCAACGGACCCAGATACAAAATCCTCTGGAGGGTCAATGTAGCATGTGCCTCAGGCCATCATGCGTGGTCCCTACCCACTCAGCCTCTCATTGGCCAGACCCCTGGCTGGGAAGCGCTGACCTCCAGCTGCATTTCAGGCAAGTTCCCCACCCGTTAGGACCCCTGGCAAAATCTGCCCACCCCTGGGGTAAGTCTCCTTCCTGGCTCCTTTCTCAAGAGTCTTCATTACTCTGCGACCTAGACCGATCCTCTTCCCAGACAATCCTAAGATCTGCCCATCACCCACAAATCCCATCCACCTCTACTGCCCTGAGCTCCTATTGCCCCAGGACTAGCTCTCAGTCATGATATACTAATTCACACTCAAGAGTTAATGACTAATACAAACTTACAGAATTCCTCTTCTTGTGAAGTAGAAACCAGTCCACCCACTGCCAAGAAGGTTTGGCTGGGTGTCCTCTCCTTCCTAAATACTGTGAACTCTAGGTCATGTTCCAAAATGAAGGCCAGAGCCCCACCCTGCCCACCTCAGAGGGTTGCTCAAAGGGCAAAGGAAGCTTCTGGCAAATGCCCAGGCAGCATGCATGATGGAACATTTATCGCAGGGAAAAACCATAATAATGACATTCCAGGCAGGGCCAGAGCACTGAAGGACAGAAGATGACCTTGGCCTAGGAGCTGGGGGGACACTCACCGAGTTTCACGCTCTGCACGCGGCCTCCGATGCAGCTGGAAGCCTCAAGCACAGTGACATCCGTGAAGCCCTGCTCCAGAAGTGCTTTGGCTGCAGCCAGGCCAGCCAAGCCAGCGCCGATCACCACCACACGAGGCTGTCCCCTTCTCCGTAGGCCACGACTGAGAGGGTCATCCGCACTGTCGCCACTGGATTCACAACTTTGCATACCGTCCGTACTGGCCTCCTAGGAACCTGCGAGGGGCAGGGGTGTCACGGCTTACCTGCTCTGCCTTCACTGCCCACATGCTCTAAGGGACACTCATGAGCTCTGTCCTCAAGGGGGAACCTCGAGCCCTCGGGCTCCTCCTGAGACCTGGACAAGAGGACCCAGGGAGGAGGACAGACAGAGGGAAGGAGAGAGGTGGGGAAGAGGCACCGTGGGCCCCCACAAGGAAGCAGGACTACTGGGATCCTGCCCCAAGCCCCCAAAATCCATCAATTCCATCCCAAACCTGCTCGGCACTGCCTCTTCCCCGAGCCTGAGACAAGAGCCAGTCAGGAAGGGTTGAGCAAAAAAGCCAAAGTCAGGAGAAGCTGACACTGCTGACCCTGAGCCAGCCTGCCCCAGCACAGCTGTTGTGGTCCAGCTCACACCAACCCCGGCTGCTCACACAGACCTTAGGATGCTCACATGGACCCCAGGATGCTCACACGGACCCCAAGACACTCACACAGACCTCAGGACTCTTGCACACACAGCGCTGGAGCCTCTACTTTCCCTCCCTTGCGTGGTTCTTCCCTGGCACTCTTTCTCCTTTACCCCTTCTCTTCTCCTCTAGCTTTCTGCTCGTCTTTCACAGCCTGAGCGAAGTGGCAATTTGGTGGGCAGGACATAGTCCCGCCCTCCCCCCAGAAAGTGCCACGAGGCCGGTATCAGACAAGCCTCTGCTATTCCGGGTAGGTCTCTGGTTGTTTTCCCCAGCCACCCAGCCCCTCAGTCACCGCAAAGCAGCAAGGAGCCCAGGAAACGGTGGACTCTGAGGACCCATGGCACCAGAGGCCAGACGTCAAATTGACAGTTACACTTAGCCAGCTTGTTCAGAGACGCCAGGCTAGGGAGCTGATGGCTGGGCAGCCAAGGGGGGGGGGGGGTCCCTGAATTGCCCCAGTTCTAGGAGAAGCTACCCTTCTATTCCCAGAGTGACCACGAGGGTCTGAAGGTGTCTGTGGGCCATCCCAAGGGGCCACTCAGCTCTGATCCCGTCCCTGTTCCCTCCCTGACCCATGCAACTCTGATTCCAATTGTCTTTACTGAGGTTTCAGTGGCAGAAACTCCAGACTCTAACAGTGTCCAGGACCTAACAACACAGGAGGAAGGGTGGGCGGAAGGTGGCTGCAGGCAGTGGAGTGGACAGGGGACATAAAAAACTGTCTCCCATACCTAATAAAGCTCAGCATAACCCTTCCAGTGATGAAGCAGTCGCACCCCCAAGAATAAACCCAAGAGAAGCAGGGCATGTTCCACCAAAGAGACATGCTAAAGAAAATCCATAGCAGCTTTATTTATAAAGGCCAACAAACAGAAGCAGCCCAAAGGTCCAGCCATGGGAGAATGGATAAATAAATTGTGCCATGTGTAGCATTTTCGTACAAGGGAATATCCTTCAGCAATAAACAGAACGAAATTACTGATACCCTTGAACGTTACATTGAACAAAGGAAGTCAGAGACCAAAGAGTACATAGTGTATGCCTCCACTTACATGAAGCTCATGAAGTGGCAAAATGAACCTGTGACGAGAGAAGAGAGATTGGGAGGAAGGGAATGACTGAAAAGCGTCAGGACGGAACTCTCTGGGGTGGAAGGAATATGTATCTTGATCTGAACGGTGGTCACACATTGTATATATAAAGATCCACTGACTTGGACATGTAGGATTTGTGCCATTTGTTATGTGTGTGTACCTCAATAACTATGCAGATATCCATTCCTGGCCCGAAAGCGGGGGGGTGGGGGGTGCGGGGGTGCGGGGATGGGGGGGTGGGGAGGTGAGAGAGAGAGGGGAAGAGAAGAGAAGCGAAGCGAAGCTACACACCGACTTCCTTCTCGCGTCTCCTGGTCTGACCACTAAAGCTTCCGTCCCACCTTGAACCGCGCCCTCCAACATCTCTCTATCATAGGATTAGCAAAGGGGCCTTTTTCTGAATACGCTGAGGCTGCGAAGCTGCTCCTCACGCCTCCCCCACCCGCTCCGCCTGCCGACGCCACACCTGGGCACCCGGGCTAGGACGGCCACGTCCCCAGACTCCCGCCCGCAAACTCCCTGCGAACCCCCCAGCCCCAGGCCGGCCGCCGCGGTTCCCTAGAGGGCCGGAAGGTGGCGCCCGCGGCCCCTCCGAGGCCGAGTCTCTGTTGGAGGCCGGGGCTCCCCGCCCCCTTCCAGAAGAGTCCGGTCTGGCTCTGCCTTTCCTTCCTGCCTCGGGGCTCCTTCGATCCCTGCCCGCTCCCTCCAACGAGGTGCTGTGCGCATCTGGGAGCACGGGGTCCAGCGGCCCGCGTCCTCCCCTCGCACCCTGCCCCGGCCCGGGTTCTCCTTCCGGTGGACTAAATTTAGAGGGGAGGGTGTGGCTGCCTGCACCCGGGGCCCGCGCGGCCGGCGGGAGGAAGGGTCCGCAGGGCGACGCGGGCTGGCGTCAGGTTGGTAAACACACACAGGGTGCTCAGAGCTGCCGCGGACGCCACCTGCCCCGCACCCCGCGATGCGACGTGGAGCTGCCGCACGCCCCGCCCGCGTGCCTCGGTCCCCAGGACTGGGGGGAGGGGGGGCTGCCTCAGTCCTGGTCTCCGGGCTCCATCCGCAATCTCCCCCTCCCGCCCCCGCCCAGGGCCACCCTCCAAAACCGCCTCGCTTATACAATAAAGGAGGGGATTGCTTCAGAGGTCTCACACCCGACTGGTGACGACCCCTTTTTGGAAAAGTTCCGGGGGGGGGGGGCGGGTGTGACTGGGATGAAACGGCGGGGGGGGGTGGGGGGTGTCCCCACTCCCCTCTGAAGTCTCTTCACAGAACCCCCAATCTCCGTGGGCCACCGCGTCTGAAAACCCGGGGTCCAGTTAAGCTGGAAGCTGATAGAGGGAAAGAATACTTGGGGCGCAGCGCCTTCCCAGCCGGCGACATGAACTTCCTGGCTAGCCTCAGAAGGGGCCAGCTTGTCCTCACTACATTGTGATAGTCAGATAAGGCCCTATGTGGATGTCACAAGATGGACAATATTTGTAAGAGCCTCAAGTGTGAAAATCACCTGTAAAGTTCTGTAACTAAATTATAAGCAGAGTGCCTCTGGGTGAGGGTTCAGAAATGCATGGTGGGAAATGGCAGGTGGGCAGTTTGCCTTTAAGAGGAACACAGAAAGAACCCCGAGCTCCCAATGTATCAGAGACCTTAAATTCAAACAGACAGCACAGGGGTGGAAGTAGGTAAGCAAGGGCCATGTGGGTCACCTACATCTCTGATCTTCACAAGGAACCCCACAGTCCAGTTCCCTCCACAGGCCTTGTCCCAGATGGGACTCCCAAGGAGCCAGAGAAGCCTTACACACAGCCCACAGAAGGCAGAGAGATGAGGAGTCCACCCCATGGCCCCCCATATCAACCCAGGGAGCCAGCACACCCTGGGGTCCAAACGGAAAGGGACAGAGAAAACCATAGGCAGGAAGACCTACTGTGTGCCAGGCCCTCAGCTAAGCCCTGAACTGGACCTTCCAGTGCTCTGGTATCTCCAGCCAGGGTAGAGAAGAGGGGGTGAGAAGCAGCTTGTTTCCTGTTGGTTTGTGGCATCTTTTCCTTTCAGATTTTTTTTTTTTTTAATTTTATGAGAAAATGGCTTATTGAGGAAGAAGACTCACTTACTGCTCCTCCATGCCTGCCTGTCCTTCTCTCGCCTTTGGGAAATAAATAAATAAATAACATCCTCTCCTTGATCTGTATGCACAGGAGAAACAGAACACCCTGTACTTTTCGAGCAGATAAAGGAGAGAAGAAAAAAGTGCTGGTTCAGCCAGGCAGGGAGGAGAAGGAGGAGGAGGGGTGGGGGAGGAGGGAGGTGCAGGGCAACAGCCACTTGTCTTCTTGCTCCTGCTTCCATGGCAAAATGAGGGTGGGAGCCTGGAGCTCCCATATCCCCAGGCAGGCCAAGCCTGGTAGCTTCGAGAAATCAGGCCCGGCCATGGCATAAGCATCCCACCCTCATTCAGAATGCCCCACTGCCTGACCTCTGCTCTGGCCTGCAAGCCAGCGACTCCCCCTGCTGCCCAAAGCCAACACTGCCCTGATTGAACCTGCCCAAGAAGCCAATCTGGAAAGCAGGCGGCAGCAGGGGAAGAAGAGAGGAACAGGGGTGCCTGGGTGGCTCAGTCGTTAAGCTTCTGCCTTCAGCTCAGGTCATGATCCCAGGGTCCTGGGATGGAGCCCCACATCGGGCTTCCTGCTCCACGGGAAGCCTGCTTCTCCCTCTGCCACTCCCCCTGCTTGTGTTCCCTCTCTCGCTGTGTCTCTCTGTCAAATAAACAAATACAATCTCAAAAAAAAAAAAAAAAGAAGAAGAAGAAGAAAAAGAGAGGAACGGAGGGAAGAAAGGCCCTGTCCCTGGGGCAGGGTCACCAAAGAAAGAAGGATGAAGACTAGCAGGCCAGGCCCACTGCACCTTCTCTCAACATGCTCACCAGTTTCATTGCATCCCCCTCAAATTGACCCTCCAAGAAGTGCCTCCTAATCGCCAAATACCAGAGACATGCTTTAGTGCTGGCCTCCTCCTGAGCCCCTCTTGGAAATGCCCAGAACGGAGCTGGAGACAGCTCATATCTCCGTGTGCTTCCCCACCATGGTTAACACCGCTGGACCTCCGACCTGGCCCAAGGCTCCAAGCTGAATGCACCCTTAAGGGAAGACCGCCCTTATCCATCAGGTCAAGCCATGTCCAGCCCACAGCCAGAATCACTGTGGCCTCCACTCTCCACTTCCCCACGCACTCGCCTGCCTCCTCCCTCTGAACTGTACCCCTAGAGAATTGCTGGGCCTGCCCCAAGTGTCACCCAGGCCTCTCACTGACCAGGAACCTAACCCAGCAATTCACTGAGCACTAACCATGTACCAGGCATGGGGAAGGCCTCGGCATGTCAGCCCTTTAGCCTCGGGACCCGGCTGACCTTTCTGGCTTCGAGTCTCGCTCAGACGCCACCAAACATACACACATA